GGGCTGTTCCTAGCTTTCCCATCTGCCAACATTGACTTCATTTCTTAGATTTGGCATTTTTGAACCAATATGTTCTTCTGGAGCAGAGATTAAAAATCCAATATCCAAAAACCAATTGGTTACCTGAAGCAACATTAAACACTACGGAGAAAGAGCCCAACAAATTTCCCACCATTTGGCTGAAACAGAACCAGCAGAGCGAAAGCAAATTCTATTGGATGTACATATATATGTAAATGCATATATATAACATATATATATAATTCTAAATCTGATAATTAAAATGTAGTGTCCCTATGTGTAGCGTGTGCCTGACTTTTTAAATAATGTTTGTGAAAAATAGTTCCAAAAGACCCGGTCCCTCCACGTCACACCGCACATGCGCGTTTTTGTTCTCGTAGTGGGTGGCCCCGCCCCAGGAACGCACCTGGGCGCCGCCGTCCACGCACAGAGGCACCTGGATTAACCCGGATGCACAGGACCCCTCCCGAAGCTTAGAGAGGGGAGGGAAGGGGCCGGGGCGGATGGGTGCTCCAACAGACCCAGGTACCAAGCCACCTGGGAACAGGGATGAGCCCATGGCAGCTTTTGCTTGAGGGACAAGGAAGCTGTCACAGAGGAGCGAGAGGACCAGCCGGGGAGGATAGTGGCGTGGGATTTAAAGACGGATGAGTTTTTGCCACCGCGTGGGAAGACTCCGTCGTTTTCCTGAACACCTAACAGTGGTGCTGTGGGCGCTCTGGACTGGACGGGACTTCAGACACAATCATCCATTCAGTGTCAGCAGCGAGGAGGAAGGCGGGGTGCGCCCTGGGCTGGGAGCCCGTGCTGGGGGGTCCCCATTCTGCTACAGGAGATCTTCCTTCCGCACGTGGAAAGCGGGCCCTGCCCGCCCATGGCCACCCCTCTGTCCCCGGGGTGTATGCCTCTCCGTTCCCATCAGTTTCCAGCCTGGTTGGTCTTCTCACCTCGGACCTTGAGGATGAGAAAGGGAGAAAGACATTTAGTGCTTTCTTAGTCCCTGCAACTGCAGGCCAAACACATTCCCAGTTGAAGATGAGATTTGCTGCCTGATGGCCACCCCTAGCGCAGGGCTGCTCAGGCGTCAGGCCGGTTACCTGCAGGGAGGTGCGGAGACGCGCCTTCTGCAGCCCTTCTCCCCTGCGTCCTCCTGTGCCCGGCCTCTCCTGGGCGCGTTCCTCCCTCTCCTGTGTCTGTCGGGCCACTCCTCCGTCCCAGCCATCCCGGCCTCCTGTCCCCGGAACAGCCCGCAGAATCTCCTCCCTGCGTTGGAAGCGAAAGCCTGGACAGGAGGTGTTTAGGGACAAGGAGGCGCCAGCTTATGTGGAAGGAAGTGGGGAACATAACGCAAAAGGCTGGCCAAGTAGGGCTTTCTTATACTGGTTTATCTACTTTTGTATGTGTCTGAAATTTAGTATAATAAGATTTTAAAAGTTAGCAAAGGAGGGAAGGAAACAAAGGAAGAAACAAAAAGAAATAGAAACAAAGAAGAAAGAAAAAGAAAAGAAAAAAGAAAACGGGAAGGGAGAGAGGGAGGGAGGAAGGGAGAGAGAGAGAGAGAAAAAAAGGGAGGAAAGGAAGGAGAGGAGAGAGAGGAGAAAGACAGCTTTGGCGGGGCAGGTCCTAGGCCCTTCCCCGCATCCTGAGGCTGCCCTGGCCCAGGGTAAAAACCTCAAGGAGCCACCTGGTGGTCACATGAAGAGTTGTCATGTCTTGAGAGCAGAGAAAAAGGTTCCTTCCTCATCATCACAATCAACGCCTGAAACTCAGTTTTTAGAAATTCATTTATGGCCGGGCACGGTGGCTCACGCCTGTAATTCTAGCACTCTGGGAGGCCGAGGCAGGAGGTTTGCTCAAGGTCAGGAGTTTGAAACCAACCTGAGCAAGAGCGAGACCCTGTCTCTACTAAAAAGAGAAAGAAATTAATTGGCCAACTAAAAATATATAGACAAAAATTAGCTGGGCATGGTGGCACATGCTTTAAGTCCCAGCTCTACTCGGGAGGCTGAGGCAGAAGGATCACTTGAGCCCAGGAGTTTGAGGTTGCTGTGAGCTAGGCTGATGCCACGGCACTCTAGCCAAGGCAACAGAGTGAGACTCTGTCTCAAAAACAATTTTTTTTAAATTAAATTAAAAGTCCATTCTTCACTTACCAGGAAAGGAGAACAAGAGTGTTATTTCTTTTTAAGACTGTTGACTGGGCGCGTGGGCTCACACCTGTAATCCTAACAGTCTGGGGCCAAGGCAGGAGAATCGCCTGAGCCCAGGAGTTGGAGGTTGCAGTGAGCTACGATGGCTGCACTCTACCCAGGGCGACTGAGCAAGACTGTCTCAAACTAAGATAAAATTAAATTAAATTAAATTAAAAAAGATTGTACCTCCACTCGTGTGCTTGGGGCAGGGTGGTGCTTCCCTCTTTTCCACACTTGACAGTGTCAGAGACATGAAATCACCCTCCCCTGAGCCACCATCCTCACATCAGGTGTGTCCTCCTTCCGGAGTCTCAGTGCCGTGAAACCTGGCTCCCAGGCTCCGGTCCACGTTTTACTGCTATTATGAATTTGACCTCATCATGACTGTGTCCTTTTCACAATTTCCCTGCCTCCTCCCCCGCCTGTAAGGGCAACATGGGAGCATACATGGCAGGCTTGGAGAGGAAAGCCTCGCTGTGCCGAGGGCAGGTCAGTAGAGGTGAAGGTGGCTGCAGAAGGAGCTTTAGAACACCTTGCAGTGAATTAATTCTGTGTGCGGATGGTGGGATTTCCTTTCTGCTGGTGGCTGAAAGCACCTACTATCTTTTGCGTGGACACAACTCGTTGAGGACTTTGTTAGTGCTCATCTACTCACACCATAGCACACAGCCAGCACACAGCCTGGCCACCCTTTCCTTAGTTGATTAATTACACTTCAGTTGCAGATGACTATTTGTCTTCTGACATCTGCACGACCTCCCAGTTTTGGCGTGAGCTCATTTGGAGAGGAACTATAATAACTACCTTGAAACAGTTCAGTTCTCAACCTGCTTCTTCCTTGCCTGATAATTCACATCATGGATCCTGTTTCTCAAAGTGAAAACTTCCAGGGGTGGTGAGTGCCGTTACTCAAAGAACAGCAGTAGAACATTTCTTGTTCACTGCTACGTCTTATTAATACTTTGATCTGGAATGTGCCCAAGTCTCTTTTAATAACAGTACTGTTGATTCAGATATTAACGACAGGACCATGACCAAAATGCTAAATTAAAATAGCTGAGACAGGTTGATGCCCAGAAGCCAAAATAATTTTAATCAGATTCAACTTCATGACACGTGCATAAAAAAAAAATACCTTGCACTATTTGTTCCCTTAGTTAAGCATGAAATCACTCTATAATTATCGTTGTGGGGAAAACCCAACTTTCTAGCCCACAAGCATGCGGATGAAGGATTCATCTCCATGTATGACTGAGAACATGCAGTATTTATCTTTCTATACTGGCTTATTTCGCTTAACATAATGTCCTCCAAGCTCATCCATGTTGCTGCAAATGACAGAATTTTGCTCTTTTTATGTCTAAATCACATTCCATTTTGTTTTTTTTTTATTTAAAATTATTTTTACAGTTCATTCAGCATCAGAACTTTTTTTTTTTAAATTATTTTTACCCATTTTGAATATAAACCACGTTTTCTTTATTCATCCATTGATGGACACTTAAGTTGATTCCATATCTTGGCTGTTGTGAATAGTGCTGCAATACATGAGAGTACAGATATCTCTTCAACATATTGATTCCATTTCCTTTGGATATATACCCAGTAGCAGGATTGCTGAACCATATTGGTAGTTCTAAGTTTTAGTTTTTTGAGGAATCTACATATTGTTTTCCATAATGGCTGTACATTTACATTCCCACTAACAACGTGCACTAGTTCCCTTTTCTCCACATCCTCGCCAGCATTTGTTATTTTTTTGTCTCTTTGATTAATAGGCATCCTAACTAGGGTGAGATGATGTTTCATTGTGGTTTTGATTTGCATTTCCCTGATGATTGGTGATATTAAGCACATTCTCCTATACCTGTTGGCCATTCATATGTCTTCTTTTGAGAGATGTCGACTCAGCTCATTTGGCCATTCAAGTTTCCTTTTAATGCTTTGATTCTGGGACCATTGCCTATGTCAGGAGTCTCCAGTTGGTCAAGTGTGTTCTTTTGGTTCATCTTGAGGCCTTGCCTGAGCCAATCCCAGCTGATTTCTGCCTAGGCCATCATCACAGCCTAGAAAGAGTTTCCAACATGGTAGGACCAGAAGCTACTTCCTATTGAAATTATTATACATCTATTTCCCAAAGGGGAAAAAAAATCAGACCTGTAAGAAGAAAATTTACTCAAATTGTTGACTCATTAGATTCCTATGTTTTTAAATTTTATTATACTTTTAGGGAACTTTTAAACAAAGTACATGTCAAATGACATATTGTTAACAATTTAAAAGCATCTTCCATTTTAAGAATATTTTGCCAAGCTAAATGAAGCCTCCATCCTTGAATTGAAGATTAATCAGCAGCTAACTCGAATGGGCTGCCTGCTATGTGCCTAGCACCTTGGGTCCATTCCCTCATGTGCATGTCACAATAACCCTCTCCAGTAGGCACTATTGCTATCCCCATTTTACAGATAAGGAAACAAAGACTTAGAGAAATTAAATAGCAAAATCATCAGTTCATAGAAGCTATCTGAATCCAGGACTGGGCTTTTAGCTCCTATTATATACACTTAGCACTTCCAGAGCATGAATGATGAGGTTGGTATAATCCTTATATACCACATGCTAAGCAAAATATTTATTTAACATCTGCACTAGAAAAACAGAGGCCCACTCAAACCCTATTTTTTAAAAAAAGGCATTCACCCCATGAAGTTCAGGTTGTTGGGACTTACCTTTCCTCCCCAGAACAAAAAGTAGAATGAATACTCTTCAATAAATGTACTGACGATAATGTTGGTGGCAGTGAAGGTTTGTGATGTGAATGGGGAGATTCCAGAGGGAAGCGCCACTGGTCCTGGCACTGGGAAGCCCTCGGCGGGAGGGCTGGCCCCTCACCCATTCACCCTGAGGAAAGGCCTGGCCCCCAGTGAGCTTGTCACTGTGCTCGGGGTGAGAGCTGGGGGGAATCTGACCCAGCCCTTAGACCTCAAGCATGATCAAGATTCAGGAACCACCAGCCACATGAGGAGGACTAGCAGTTTTTAAAGAGAAAGGCCAAGATAAACCAAAGCACTGGTTTATCTGAGCAGTGACCCTAGAGGAACCAGATATAATCCAGAAAAAAAGAAGAGAACCTAAAATAAAATCTCTAATAACCTCAGAGTATAGAATTCTGAGAGCATAGTACATCCATAAATAAGAAAGGAGCCAGGTGCGGTGGCTCATACCTGTAATCCTAGCACTCTGGGAGGCCGAGGCGGGTGGAATGCTTGAGGTCAGGAGTTCGAAACCAGCCTGAGCAAGAGCAAGACCCTGTCTCTACTATAAATAGAAAGAAATTAATTGATCAAGTAATACATACAGAAAAAATTAGCCGGGCATGGTGGCGCATGCCTGTAGTCCCAGCTACTTGGGAGGCTGAGGCAGCAGAATTGCTTGAGCCCAGAAGTTTGAGGTTGCTGTAAGCTAGGCTGACGCCACAGCACTCACTCTAGCCTGGGCAAGAAAGCAAGGCTCTGTCTAAAAAAAAAAAAAAAACACTAAAAATTCAGAGGTTTTCTCTAGCCCATAGCTGCATTCTGTTTGGCCTACATTAAAAAAAATAAAAGTTAAAAAAAATAAATAAATAAGAAAGGAATGCTAAGCAAAAGGCTCAGAAAATAAGAATACTCTCAGATTTTAGAAATGATTGCCAAAATTAGAAATTAAATAGGACTAGATGTAAAATTTAAAAAAAAAGATTTCTCCCAGAACATGGAGTAAACAAGGACCAAAAACAGAGGCAAAAATTAAAAAATAAAAAAAGGAAAAGAAAAGAAAATTCAAGGCCCAATGCACGAGGTCCAGCATACGTCCACCCCCCACTTCCCAGAGATCAGGGGGAAGAAAACTACCCCAGATATGAAAGAAGGTGACTTTCCTGGTCTTGGGACATATGTGCATTTGGATTTAAAAGACCCGCTGAGTGAGTACCCAGCATGATAAGTGTACCAAAGCTAGGTACACTTGTACAGTTTCAGGGGAAAAAAATATTGTCGGATCTTCAAGAGAAAAAAAGAAACTTGTTCACCTATGAAGGAAAAGAATCAAATCCACTTCATATCTAATACCAGCAATGCTGGGTGCTAGAAGGAGCAATGCCTCCCAGTTCCCGAGGGCACGTTACTACAGCCTCAGTGCTACAGCCAGACAAAGCATTAGTCCACGGGAAGGCAGAAGGATGTTTCAGATAAGCAAGGACTTAGAAAGCTCACCTCCCCTTAAGCCTTTCTTTGCAAGTAGTTTAAGGATGTTGGCCAGCACAATAAAGGGAACCCAGAGAGAAAATGACAAAGGATTTAGCAACAAGTGGATCCCTGCCAGGGATCTGTGAAGGGCAGTTGCAGATGGCAGCTGTGTCACCCACCCAGCAAGACCAGACCTGGAGTGGAGGCAAAGGCTGCAGGAGGGGATAGCCTTGGGAAGAAAGGACCAGCTGCAAAAGGAGAGCATGACTGGAAAACTGAATACAGACCCATCATGCTAAACAAAAAGAAAGAAAGGCAAGAAGAAACTCAAGGAAAACACAAAGTGCTGCACAAGAAAGTCATGGACCACATATGAAATAAACTGTGCTCTGGCCTATTCTTAGATTTGAAGCTTCGACGGAGGTTAAGAGAACAGACCCCATGTGACCTCAGTGCTGGGAATGTGCTCCTTGCACATATGAGCCCTCTAGGATCCTAAGGCTAAACCAGTCAGGAAGATGTAATTCCAGCTGACAATCCACTCCACCCTAAGCAATGTTACACAGCCATGAAACAGAAGCACCTTTCATGGGAGTTAAACTCTTCGAGTCAGCTTACGAAAAAGCACCAAAGATCTGCTTGCAGATGCAGGAAAGAATGAAAATATCAATGGCCTTAACTAGGTAAAAGTGAAAGCGTAGCTGATGAAAGGGAGAGGGAAGAGGTGGCTGAAGAGAAGAGGTTCCAATCACGGATCTTACAGGGTAGAGCAAAGAGATGCTGCCCATATCTGATGGAGTGCCACGCAGACATTTAAGTACATTTTTATAGTTATAATGGTACTCAATTTCATTATTTCAGTGATAATCAGTCATCAATTCCTAGGAGGAGAGTAGTGAGATAGTTAGGGCGAGCTAAACTTTCACCTTTCTATGGTGAGAGCACAGATGGTATAAAATGAGTAAATCAAGAAATAAGACAGGCCCCAGTCACTGAGCCGCCGCCGAGGACTCAGCAGCCTCCCCCTTGAGCCCCCTCGCTTCCCAACGCTCCGTCCCCCCCCCCCGCCCGCCTTTCGACCCCTTTGCTGATGCAAGTAAGGGTGATAACCTGCTTCCTGCTGGCACTGAGGATTATATCCATATAAGAATTCAACAGAGAAACGGCAGGAAGACCCTTACTACTGTCCAAGGGATCGCTGATGATTACAATAAAAAGAAATTAGTGAAGGCGTTTAAGAAGAAATTTGCCTGCAATGGTACTGTAATTGAGCATCCAGAATATGGAGAAGTAATTCAGCTACAGGGTGACTAGTGCAAGAACATATGCCAGTTCCTTGTAGAGATTGGACTGGCTAAGGACGATCAGCTGAAGGTTCATGGGTTTTAAGTGTTTGTGGCTCACGGAAGCTTAAGTGAGGATTTCCTTGCAATGAGTAGAATTTCCCCTCTGTCCCTTGTCACAAGTTTAAAAACCTCACAGCTCGTATAATGTAACCATTTGGGGTCTGCTTTTAACTTGGACTAGTGTAACTCCTTCATGCAATAAACTGAAAAGAGCCATGCTGTCTAGTCTTGAAGTCCCTCATTTACACAGAGGTCAAGCAGGAGGCGCCTGGCAATGTCAACCCTGAAACAAAGCAATAACGTGGCGTTTCAGCCAAGCCCACAGCCCTAAGATCACAGACAGCTATGTCTGGCCAGAAGCTCCTCGCCTCTCCCTCTGCAGAGTTCCTGCCCTAAGAGAATGTCACCACCTGGACAACCCACCGTGAATGTGAGAGGGTGGGGTAAGGCAGCAACAGCAGCTGTGCCACTAGAGGGAGCCTTTGGTAGTAACAGAAAGATCCCCTGGTATTTCCAGGTGGGCAGAGCTTAGAGAGGCCACCTTCCCTCTGGTGGGGTGATAGGACATCTGGCTTTTCCACCAAGGTCTTTTTGACCAGACATATCTTAGCTAAGGGAAGTCCAAACATCAGAATGTGAGGCCAACCTTCTATCAGAGTTAAACTTTTGACAAGGGAACAAATCTCAAAACGGACGTATCAGTTATGTAGCTAGCCGTAAAGCTTGCAACTTAACTAGCAACAGCTGCCCGACGCCATGTGAAGTAACAAACTGGTTTTTGGTTTTTTTTCCTTTCAGTTTTAATGTTATGTGTAATGTATTTAAACCCTTATTTAAATAAAACTTGTTTTCAGAAAAAAAAAAAAAAGAAATCAGACAGAAGCTCATCATCTAGCACTCTGGGTATAATCATCAGCAAAACCCAAACCAGAAAATGCTCAAAGAGGCTGTCTCTGAAGCCAGGCATGTGGCACATACCTGTAGTCCCAGCCACTCGGGAGGCTGAGGCAGGAGGATCACTTAAGCCCAGGTGTTCGAGGCCGTAGTGTCCTATGGTCACACCTGTGAATAGCCACTGCACCCCAGGCTGGGCATTATAGCGAGATCCCGTATCTAAGTAAAAGAGGCTGTCTCTGAGAGGTGATGGCAAGGGGAAGGTAAGAGATTAGATGGAAATGAAAAGCTAAAAATTCCTTTTAAAAAAGAGAAGGAAGAAATATTATAAATGCACATATGGAAATCCAGCTGGAATTGGAAGCTTTCCAGGAACTGAAGTATATTTCTGCGCCCCTGTTTCCATACATACACACATAACTTTCCTCTACCTCCTACTATCTGCTTACTCTTAGCTTCTGTTGCCTCCGTAACTTCAGTTTGCCACGACCTTTGTATCAGTCAGGGCGGAGGCAGGAAAGAGATTGGATCCTGATTCATAAAGAGAGATATACTGAAGGGACTCTTATCAAAGGTGAGGCCAGGTGAAGGGAAACCAAGGAGGGCTGGGGAACACCCTAGGCCTGCAGGGAGGCTGTACTAGTCCTGATTAGCATTTGCACGCTCCAAATAAAGAAGTCAGCGGGAAGGTGTCCAGGCATGGATAAATGGTGCAGGCTGGATCTCACCCAGCCCGGGCCATCTGACTGCAGACCTGAACTCCCAAATGCTATTCTTGCCATACTATGAGAAAAAAAAATAAAAATTAACATCATATCTTAAAAGGCCTTATCTTTGGGGAGAGTCCCCTTCTCCCTATCAGCATCTCCAAAAGTAATATTACAGCAGCACTACAGTTATCCAAGATGTTACCATTAGGGAAACAACTTGAAGGGTATAGGGGAACCCACCATACTATTTCTTTTATTTATTCATTTATTTATTGAGTCAGAGTCTCACTCTGTTGCTCTGGCTAGAGTGCCATGGCATCAACCTAGCTCACAGCAACCTCAAACTCCTAGGCTCAAGCAATCCTGCTGCTTCAGCCTTCCAAGTAGGTGGGACTACAGGTATGCGCCACCACGCCCGGCTAATTTTTTTTCCTATATATTTTTAGTTGGTCAATTAATTTCTTTCTATTTATATTAGAGACGGGGGTCTCACTCTTGCTCAGGTTGGTTTCGAACTCCTGACCTTGTGCGATCCTCCCGCATCGGCCTCCCAGAGTGCTAGGATTACAGGCGTGAGCCACCGTGCCCGGCCCATACTATTTCTTATATGTGAATTTACACTTATTTCGAATAAAGTTAAACAAATAGCTTAATTTTTTAGTTAAAAAATATATAGATACTTAAAATTTGCTAAGAGGGTAGATCTTATGTTCAGTGTTTTTACCACAAATAAAATAAAATAATAATAATGAAGGGGGTGGGAGGAAACTTTGGGAGGTAATGGTTATGTCTATGTTCTTCATGGTGGTGGTTTCACAGTGTATTGAGATGTAAATTTGCACAGCTTTTTGCATGTCAACCATTCCTCAATAAAGTGGAGTTTTTTTTAAAAAAGTTAAACAAATATAGCAGCAGCATCAACTACCACTTACACATCAATTCAACAAGTATCTATTTGTATGCCAGGCACCGTACTAGGTGCTGGGAGACGCAAAGTCTAAAACAGACAGAAACCTCACGGAGCTGACATGCTAATGGGGCTTCATTCAGCTAGGTTGTTTAAAACTCAAGTTATTACCTAAGTGCTAATTACAAAGTGGCTAATTCCTCAGTACCCCAAAGTAGCACTGATTAGGTTTGCCTGGGCTGCTTGACAAGACTCAAGACAGTATTTGTGAATACCAAGCTTTGTCCCAAATTGTACCTGAATGAGTCATTCTTTCTCTCTGCTCTAGTGCTAAGGGATACCTGTGAAATTTACATGTGTGCGCTATTCAATATCTGCCTGGAAGAACTAACTCCCTTCTCTTTTGTCCTCTTGCTTGCTCTAGGCTACAGAGTGTCCAAGTAGGAAACTGTGGACACCGTGGGTTGCCACAGAGATGACTAGGGTGTGATCCATGAATTGCAAAACCCAGCTAGTGCCCCCAAAGAAAGACGTCTCTCCCGACGACCACTCCAGTGCCCTAGAGCTCCAGCGACATCAAGGAAGAAGATGCAGCTGACAGACAGGAGATGGCAGCCGCCGAAGCGCTGAGGATCACCGCTCCTTGGCCACTTGCGTCCCGGCTCCAGGTGTCTCTCCAAGATGGCCTGTAACAGCACGTCCCTCGAGACTTACGAGCACCTGCTGCTGAACGCCACCAACGCGACGACGGGCCCCGGGGCCGCGGCCCTGCCCGCCCCGCTCAGGATCGTGCTGGCCATGGGGATGCTGCTCATGATCGTGGTCGGCTTCCTGGGCAACACCGTGGTCTGCGTCATCGTGTACCAGAGGCCGGCCATGCGCTCTGCCATCAACCTGCTGCTGGCCACGCTGGCCTTCTCAGACATCATGCTGTCCGTATGCTGCATGCCCTTCACCGCCGTCACCCTCATCACCGTCCGCTGGCACTTCGGGGACGGCTTCTGCCGCCTCTCGGCCACTCTCTACTGGTTTTTCGTCCTGGAGGGCGTGGCCATCCTGCTCATCATCAGCGTGGACCGCTTCCTCATCATCGTGCAGCGCCAGGACAAGCTGAACCCGCGGAGGGCCAAGGTGATCATCGCCGTCTCCTGGGTGCTGTCCTTCTGCGTCGCGGTCCCCTCGCTCTGGGGCTGGACGTTCGTGGAGGTGCCCGCGCGGGCCCCCCAGTGCGTGCTGGGCTACACCGAGTTCCCCGCCGCCCGTGCCTACGTGGTGACGCTGGTGGCGGCCGTGTTCTTCGTGCCCTTTGGCGGCATGCTGTGCGCCTACACGTGCATCCTCAACACGGTGCGCAAGAACGCCGTGCGCGTGCACAACCAGTCCGACAGCCTGGACCTGCGGCAGCTGTCCCGCGCCGGCCGGCGGCGGCTGCAGCGCCAGCACCAGGTCAGCGTGGACCTGAGCTTCAAGACCAAGGCCTTCACCACCATCCTCATCCTCTTCGTGGGCTTCTCCCTCTGCTGGCTGCCCCACTCGGTCTACAGCCTCTTGTCTGTGTTCAGCCGGCGCTTCTACTACGGCTCCTCCTTCTACGCCACCAGCACCTGCGTCCTGTGGCTCAGTTACCTCAAGTCCGTCTTCAACCCCATCGTCTACTGCTGGAGAATCAAAAAATTCCGCGAGGCCTGCATAGAGCTGCTGCCCCAAACCTTCCAGATCCTTCCCAAAGTGCCTGAGCGGATCCGGAGGAGAATCCAGCCGAGCACAGTCTACGTTTGCAACGAGAACCAGTCTGCTGTCTAGGGAGGGCCGGCCACCGGGTCCCAGGACATGCTCGTCTGTCCTGCTCTGCTCCCTGGCACGTTCGTAGTCTGCACTTCTTGGTGGCTGTTTAAGCACAAAGGTACTCATTTGTTACCAGATGGGCTTTGGCTCCTAAATTTCAAATGTTGGCAAGATGAATTATTTTTTGTTTCTCATCGCGGAGGAGCCATGTGTGGGTCTAATGGCAACTGCAAGGTAGTTGAGGCAAAATGGAGTGGGGAGGGGAGTGGGGAAGTTGGGCAGAAAGTTAGGGACTAGGGCTAGGCAGGGAGTGAAGCTGTTGAGGGTAGGGCAGGAGCAGGGTCTGTCCCAAGAGCTTAATCCTGCCTGCTAGCTCCGAGCTCCCTCTGCACCTGCTCCAGAAAACGGGGTGGTGCCATGTTTTGAGGTGAGAAACCCAAGTAGGTAGCAGCTCAAGGGTTATCACCCCCTTTTTGACACCTGCCTTCAATCATTTGTGTTTGTGGCATATGGAGAATTACGAAAGGTTCTTTCCCTTGTCACATGTGCATTTCTGGTCATGCCAAATCATTCTTTCTAGAAAGAAACCAAATTCACAGTGGGACACAGAGTGAGCTCCTGTGCTTTTGAGTTCCCTGGTGCAGTGCATGGGAGACCTGAGTGGCTTGAAGCCCAGAGAATGTTCTGGGGCAACTCAGCTGCAGTGAGAAGCACACCTGGACACTCATGCATGTCCCCCATACCCATCCCCCCCTGACCTGGCCTGGCCCACTTTGTCCCTGTGCCCCAAAGTCTCTCAGCTTTCCTGTCTGCAGGACAGTCCCTCAGACCCTTCCCTCTTTTCGTTTCTTTTCTCCCATGTTTCCAGTGTGCTGAAAAAAATGCCCCCGGAAATCCATGCATTGAGCAAGTCTTTGCAGGGACCTGCTTTCAGTGTCAGAAGCGGTGAGTCGCTGGGCCTTGTTTACATATTCCCTCTGGACATCCTGGGGCTCCAGAGCATTTGTGAGCCACCCAGTGCCCTTCAGCCCTAGCACCGCTGCAGAGGCAGAATGAGCAAACCCCACCCGCAGGGTGGTCCCCATCGGTCTCTGTGTTCCTCCTACCTCATTCAGACCCGCTGCTGCTGTCCGGTCCACCTGCCCAGGACTGGATCCCAGGAGTGAAGCTGCCCAGAGGGGACCTTTCTGCTTGCACCCTACACTCAGCCACCCACCACCACCAGGAGCTTCTGATGTTGAGAGATGAGCGTGCTGAGTTCAGGGCATAGCATTGCGTCCACGGAGCTCTCTTTATAGTTTCAGATCTAAGGAGAGTGGGAAGTTTAAGGAGAAATTTAGAAAATTGGATTCCAGGTCTGACTCTATCAGGAATTACTCGTGTGACCTTGTTCGTTTCACCTCACTGCTCTGGGCCTCAGTTACCCTGTTTGCCAACAGAGGAGGCAGGTGTCGATGAGCTCCGACATTCCTCTCATCTTTCCAACACTCTGATTGTGAAGTGTGTGTTTCCTACCTGCAGTTACCAGATCCCCTGCAACCATTTGTTCCTCCATGCAATGAGCATTTATTAAGTGCCTACTGGATGTAAGGCACTGTGGGGAGGCAGTGATGAATGAGGCATGCGCTGTGCCTAAAAGCAGTTGTCTGATTTATCTCAGGATAATGGTAACTCAAAAGCAGCCTAAGAGCACAGAAACTCCATTCTTGTTTTACTTCTTATTTCTTTCCAAGAGGTATTAAGAGGCTGGCTCCCATTCTCACTCCCTCCCCGTGGTAGTGGTGACAAGGGCAGGGAAGAAAGGAGGGTGAAGAGAAGAACATAATTTAGATTCATGTAAGCCCAGAGAAGGGTTAAGAAAATAATTGACACCTGTGGTCACCAAGTCCACCCTCCTTTTATACCCAGATGTGAGTGGCAGGGAGAGAGAAAGAGAAGATGAGCAGTTGATGTGTGACTGGTTGAAGTGAGTCCCATCAATTCTGAGTCCCCAGTGCCCCAGCAAGGCCAGAATTTGCCTTCAGCTCCCATGGGGCAGGGCTTCAGGGCCACAGCAGTGTCCAAGAGCACAGCTAGGCCACCAAGGGGACCGAGCCCATGGGCACCTCCCCTCGGGTGGGCATTTCAGATAATTTTCTTCAGGAGCCTTGAGCAAAAGAGAAATCACAAAACTGAATGAACGAAGGTACCAAAATTTACATCCTTCAGTGTTATATGATGTATGTTGAACAGTAATATATATGTTTCAAAGTAATAATTTTGTATATATTTTAAATAAAGTATTATTGCTCTTTCGGTGTATCAGACCACGTTCTTGCCAAAATGCACACAAGGACCATGAACAGTAAGCCCAGAATGCCAGGCCCAACACCTCTGTATCAGTTCGTTCAAGCTGCTATCACAAGATACCTTAGACTGGGTAATTTACAAGCAATAGAAATTTACTTCTTACAGTTCTGGAGGCTGGGAAGTCCAAGATAAATGTTCAGTGCCTAGTGAAGCATTGCCCTCTGCTTCACAGATGGCATCTTGTTGCTGTGTCTTCCATCACAGAAAGGGAAAGGAGCTCTCTCAAGCCTCTTTCATAAGGACACTAATCCCACTTGTGAGGGTGGAGCCCCCAGGACTGAATCGCTTCCCAAAGTCCCCACCTCTTAATACTATCACATTGGGTATTATGTTCCAACACATGAACTGGGGGGCGAGGATACCAACAGAGGATGTCTAGAACCTGTAAGTTACTGGCGAAACTGGAAAGACTAGAGAAGGACCTGATCTTAAGATGACAGCCAGGACTGTTTGAGCAACAGGGGTCACAGTTGGGTGTCTGCTTTCATCATTTTGTTTTCCTATCACAGCCCTGCTGAGTAACCCCAGCCAGCCAGTCTTCCACTCTGACTTGTAGCTTGCCACCTTCATAATTGTCTCTGGCCTCACTCAAACCTTTAACAAACTTGATTTCCTAAGATATAGAGTAAATACCCAGTTCTGGTCTCTTTCCCTGGAACTTGCAGGACAAGCAGTGCTTTGTTGTTGATTTGTTATTATTTTCTCATCTTCTCTTTGGCCCTGATGTTCACCCTAACCCTGGGCTCTGTGTGTAGTCCGGCAGCTTCACACCTGAATTGTTTCTGTGGTGGCCTTGGGCAAGAGACAGAAACCTGTGGACTATGGTCATAAATTGGCCTGGCAAGGCAGATGCCCAGGCTCCCTGGGAGAGCCTCTCCTTAGAAATGAGACACAATTACATCTCAGAAGTGTCTTCCTAATTGTGACTACCCCTGAAAACCCACCACCTTTTCATCTCGAATCTTGGTCCCTGAGCTTGGAGTGAAATAAAAGCAAAGGTTCTCTAGGATGTTCTGACAACCAAGAAGAGCAAGAAAAATCCAGATCAATTCTTACTTTGCCATTCTGGGCCCGGATGTACGTTCCCTGCACAGGACTCACAGTGCATGCTTTTTTGGGGACTACAAAACCTTCTACATGAAGTATTTTTGCTGCTGCTCCACTCCCCTTGTTCGTGCATTTGGCAGTCCTGACCCCCAGAGCCCTTGCAGGAGGGCCCAGAGCTCAGGTACCTGCTCTTACAGAAATGCAGGTGTGAAACTGCCTATATTAACGTAAGGCCGTAAGGTAAGAAGTATGGTAAAAGTTTGATTTCCACAGAAGTATAGACATAGCTAAAAGTTAACCAGCCATGGTAACCTAGCTCACCTTCCTGTGGTTGCTAACTGCTTAAGAGTCCAGTTACTTCTGTAGATAACATCACTATCCTAAAACCTATGACTGGTCTTTGAGATATCTTCCAAACTCTGCATTTGGGGAGACCAACTGATATCAACTAACCCAGTAGGCATAAGTGGGAACTGACTCAACTGGTCTTGCAACCCTCTACCCAGGAACTGTCTCAGCCAAGAATACAATTTCTGTTTCCCAACCCTTTAACTTCATCCTCAGCTAGTTAGCAGATCCAATTCCCTAACTCTTTGTTCACCAAACTATCTTTAAAAACCTTAACCCCATGATTCTCGAGGAGATGGATTGGAGAAATTTCTCCCAACTCCGCACCTGGCGCCCTGCAATATTAAGCTCTTTCTCTGCTGCAGCCCCTGCTGTCTCAGTGTATTGGCTTCCTTTTGAGCAGCGGGCAATACAACCCAGTTTGGACAGAAACAGGGGCAGTGGAGCATGTGTTCCAGAACAGGACAGTCCGATGCCAGAGTTGCCTCACTCTCTGAGTGACTCTGGGCAAGTCACACAGCATTCCTGTGCTTGCCCTTCCTCATCTCTGAGACAGCAGAAATACTCCCAGCCAGAAGGCTCAGTGAAGCATATATAAAAGAATGCATTTAAAGAGTCTAGACCAAGGCCTTTGGCCATGGTAGATGCTGAAGACACAAAAGCAATAATTATTACAGTTGTACTGTCAACCTGCTTGATAGCCAAGTTTGTCCTTTTGGGGGCATGGGTGGAAATTTGTTTCAGAAACTGGCTGTTCAGTCCTTCTGAAGAAAAAAACAAACCAAGCAGTTCTGTAGTGGACACCAACTGGGTGTCCTCTAATTCGATTCAATCCTGACATTATCTACCCAGAGTTAGCGTCAGATCCCACAGGCTGGGGGTCCCATCCCACCAGACTGTCCCCAACTTCAGATGCCAATCGCAAGTAGTACGTGATCACTCATACTTCTGATCAACAGGCTACAAATTGAGGGTTCCCTCCTTGGGTTCAATTAATTTGCTACAGTAGTTCACAGAACTCAGGGAAACACTTTACTTGGGTTTACTCATTTATTATAAAGACATTACAAAGGATACAGATGGAACAGCCAAAAGGAAAAACTGCACAGGGCAAGGCATGTGCCCTCTCTGGGACTACCACCCTCCCAGAACCTCCATGTGTTCAGCTATCTGGAAGCCCATCTGAACCCAGTACTTTTGGGACCTTAGAGGTTTGGGACCTTAGAGGTTTATTATACAGGCAGGGCTGATTACATCATTGGCCACTGATGATCAACTCAACCCTCAGCCCTTCTCCACTCTCCCCGACCCAAAGGTCAGGGCTGGGGCTCAAAATCCCAACTCTCTAATCAGGCCTTGGTCTTTCTAGTAACCAGCCCCTATCCTGAAGCTACCCAAGGGTCCCCAGCCACCAGCCATCTCATTAGCATACAAAAGGGACTCATCATTCTGGGCTTTCCAAGGATTTTAGGAACTAGATGCCAGGAACCAGGGCAGAGACTGACGATATATTTATTGTATCACAACAATATCACAGTCCCTTTCCTCATCCTCATGTGGCCTGCGGTTTCAAGGTTCAGTTGACAAGAACACCACATCCACTGAAGCCAGAAGCATGGGCTTGGCTTTAAAGAGCCAAATTCTGCTCCATGGCCTCAGCTGCACCAGCACACTCCATTCAAAACGCTCTCTGGGCTACCAGCTGGCCTCCTAAGGCTGGATGGACGCACAGTCTGAGGTCCCCAGAGCCCTGCAGAGCTTGTGTGGGAGTGCAGGGAGTAGGGAGGGATGGGTGGGTTGGGAAAAGGCTGCTGCAACACAGAGAGCCAACACCAGACAAGCAGCTTCCCTCCCATTGCGAGTCCAGGGCAGCCAGGCAGGCTCTGCTCTGTGTGGGTGTTCAGGACTCAGTTCGTTCTGTCTAGTTTCCCATTAACCCCTGGGCATTGTCCTCATCCGTGTGGTCAGTCTGGTCTGCAGCCACTTCTGTGTTCCTGTTCCAGCTCATGAGGAAGTGGGAAGAGTATGGGGGAGCACATGCAATGAGACACCCCACACAACCCTGGGAGCCCCATGGCCACCCCTGGCTGCACAGGAGGCTGGGAAATGGAGCCCCTTGTTGGGCAGCAGTGTGCCCGGCTGCATCTTCCTGTGGAAGAGGAGAAGGATTTGGGGGAATCCCAGCAGTGTCTGCCAAAACTTTGCACAATTTTAAAAAACAAGAGTTCCTAGCACACATGTGATTCTGAACTCCTGTGTACACATTTCACAAAGAGCCTTTGTTCATTGCAAAGTAAACACATCTCTATCACATCAACCAAAGACAGTTGCCTCTCTCCTCACCCGGACACAGAGTCCTACATCCAAATACAGAAAATGCATGCACGGATGCCCATGGTAAGGAGGAAAAGGTCCCACATTTCATCTATTAGACACAAACCATGGGAGACATAAAAGCCAAACTGTCTGAAAATGCATAGCCACAAAGAAATGAACTTTGCCAAGATAAGAAGAAAACATTACTATTTAAAACAACGAACAATCGACATTGATTAAGACCAACTCTGCCCAAGAATTTGATCACGTTAAAGAAAAGAGAAATTTCAAAGCTTCGGCTGTTGAATGGTAGAGACGATTGCCCAAGGCACAGATGGACCACCACAGAGCACGGGACGGGCTCAGGCCAGACCATGGTGACTTAACCGTTCAAGGAAAGGGAGGGCCTGAGGACCCTCACTGGGAGGTTAGCATCCGGATTGTGTAAGAATAAAAGGATGTGTAAATGCAAAAGCATGGTATGTATGTGTGCACTCAGGTGTGTGCACTCAGGTGTGTGCACTCAGGTGTGTGCACTCAGGTGTGTGCACGGTTCTGGGCAGGCGTCCAGGGTTCCAGTTCGCCTTCTGCTCTCTCGCCCCTTCATGCTGGAGGAGCAGAGAACAAGGTGTTCTAGGAATAGGAGGGGTGCCACAGATTGCCACAGTCAGAGAGGGAACCAGTGGGGGCTGCAGCACAGGTAGATTTTTCCTAATCAGTCTAATAGGAACTTATCAGTGTGACAACCGCTTAGATGCAACCAGAACTTTACCTTCTGCATTCACAAATGCATTGCAAGTTCATTACCTCCTGAGGTGTTCCGGTAAATGCCGGAAGAGCCCCAAAGCCTAGTTAATAAGAACAAATTACTCTCCCAGGATCTTCATGTTTCATCTCTGCACTTTTTCCTGCTGCCTCCAGCATCTGCTGTCCCTTTGCCAACCATTCCAGTCTACGAAAAATAACCACGCTCATTTTCAGAAGCATTCTTTAAAAGAAAGGCTTGCTGCTCCTTATTCACGGTCCTTTGGGGGAATATATTTCTTGTTTCCTCCCTCATCAAAATGCTGATGGCATACTCCCTCATTTCAGTATTTTGCCGTGGTATCATGAAGCCTTTGGATGCTTTATTACACCATGAACAGAGGGTCACTAAGCTCACCATCAAGACAAACAAGCCTGAATGATTTAAAAAATGCATAAGGAAAAATAGAAAGCGTAATTTGTTTTCAATGAGCAAACAGAAGTAAGGAAGGAACTATCTGAAACTGGAGGTTCTTTCTCCCTAAGGCCTCAGGATTCTCTCTTCGATCAGAGGTTCGATGGGTCTTTCAGGAAGCAGCCAGTCTAGGCTACCAGAGA